ATAAATTACTTTAAGGTTAATGCAAGAAATCTAATTTCAGTCAGGTAAAGTTTAGAAACCTGATATAACTACTTCAGAAAAGGAGATAGATACTTCAGACGTAATTCAGGCATAACAAAGATATTGGCAAAATCTAAATTCTCTAATCCATATATCTGTTATTCTCAAACGCTATTCACAAATGCATATGAAAATTATCTCATGTATATGTTATTATAATTGTTAATTTTTACACTTATTTTTTCGTACAATTATATGTACTTTTGGAGGTTATCGTATGTATATATAAAGCTGTTGACAAATTTGGGATAAAATAAGTTTCTAATTTGCAAATGTTAAAGTAAAATATGAAAGTTATTAATAGTAAAAAAGACAATGGGCTTGTTTTATAGGCTGTAACTTATCTTTAAAGTATGCATGTCTTGTTATATATAAATATTCACCTTCGCATTAAACTTAAGATATTTACCATAACGCTATTGTGTATAATCAAATGCAAACCTTTTTAAGTACTCCATGTTATAATAAAAAATATATATTCAAGAATCCTACAAACCTTTATAAGAATTTTTGCAATGCCTATGTATACAAGTTAGCTGTATCTACAGGCAATCTATCTCCAAATACCCAAACTGTATTTGCTGATACACAAAATGAATGGAAGCAAGTGCGAAGAAAAGAAGACGACGACCTTAAACAAATTATCAACACTTACTTCGCTACTCCTATTCAACCACCTTTGTATACATCTTTTTTATCTACTTCAAGAACTAAAATATTAAATAATCAGGAAGAAAATTATAAATCAGATTTAGAAGAAAGCGATAAGTCAATTACCATCACAGAAGAGCCACAGTTTAATGCATCAGCACAAAAATCGTCACTCATAAAACAAAAAACCGCTGAAGAAAAACTTGCAGAATTAAATGATCTTTATCGTGTTATACAAGATTCACAACTTCGTTATAATTTTCTTGTTCAAATTACCGAAACTAAACAAATAATTGAAGAAGAAAAAAAAAGAGAAAAAAATTAAAAAATCATGCGACTGCACAAGCAAAGTGTCGAGCAAAAAAACTTAAGGCTTTAGAAGAAAGTAATGAAGTTATTCGTTATGATTCCCCCAGACGACCTTCTTTTCTTCAACAAAATCCCGATCTTCCTATGCAACTTCATTCATGTGTAGAATTTGGAAGCGCTGCACAAAAAAGAAGAAAGAGATAATTAAAGTATATACTATCATTTACCTGAAAACTGAAATGGAAGAAAAGTACAAAATTTATATATCACATTCCTGTCTTAATACATATCTCTGGCCTCAGCACATAAATTTTCTAAGTGCAAATTGACATCATCATCCTATGGCAATCCAAGTGATGTCAGTTTCAAGAAATGAAATGAAAGACCATATTAATGAATATTATTGTCTTTCATCAGTTAAAAGTACACGACAATTCGTAATCTCTTTTGCTTCACATTCTGTGATCATATCACAGAATGATAAAGCGAAAGTTCCCCTAGGTGTTCCAGCAGTAGGACGGACCTTTAAAACTATTCAATCAGATAATGAACCTGTCGCCGTTCCTGACCATGACTTCCCTAAAGGTAGTATGCAAAAATTAATTCCATCTGTGTATCTTACTATTGATCCTGAAGATTCAAACGATTCATTATGGAAAGGCCAACTTTCAATCTTTATACGTCCCTAATGGATAGATATGTTGTATTTAGAGATAGGTTCGGTTACAAATGGCTATGATTATTCATAGCCAATTTACTAAATGCTGAAATGATTTTTTATTTTGAGTTATTAATTAAAGTTGTTCGGAATTAAATTTTGTTCAATCTATTTTATAAGTAAAAAGAATAATAACTTTTCTGGGACTCAGAATTTCAAAATTTGTTATCTTATTAGCCGGCAGTTACTAACCCAGAGAAGGTATCATTCTTTCTACTTAAGATGGAATGAACAGAATTTAATTCTGAACAACTTTAATTAATGGCTCAAAAATATAAAATCATTTCAGTATTCAGCAAATCGGCTATAAATAATCGTAACCGTTCATAACCGAACTCATCCCTAGTTGTACTTACATCGGAACCGGCCCAATATATACAATCCCAGATAAGAATTTTGTTATTTGACCTAATTATACTAAAGTGATTTTTTTTTCGAATCATATTTGATACTGAGCTGGCGAAGTGTTATATTGAATGAAATTCTAATTCTAATCATAATTCTGATAACAGATATTTGAAAGTCACCAGGTTCTTTATTTAGGTAACAAGTGTTAACCATCTGACAAACTCGAATCTAACACTGTTTCTACATAAACATAAGGTAATAGCGGAAGACAGTCATCTGTTATAGCATTAATTTTGGGTTTTCTATAAGCAGTGGGAAAGTGAATCGCTTTTTTATGTCAAGTAAGAAATGCTAAGATAGGAAAGTACCATTTGCAAGTAGAACAAGTCAATCGTGAATACATTTCCTGGGAAACAGAAGGGCAGTTTTGATCATAGCCTGGTAATTTATTTTTATCCATATACTGAAGTATATGGATAGAGCTGAGAAAATAGCCATCCCGGTCCTTAGTAAGCGGTGGTAAGAATCTATCATTTTCTGCAAGCAAAGCTTCTACAACTTCATTTCTCTATGGAGAACAGCATCTAACATTATCACACCTTCGTATATCAAGGGAATAACAACATATTTGACAGTGTTTATCAATCCAGCTCCAGGAAATATCAAAAGCTTCATCAAAAGGATCGATTTCATGATCAACATAGTTTACAGCAACTTTGTATCCATGTATATCATCTTTTTGCCATAAATCACAAAGTTTTTTACCAGCATAACAAAAATTGCGAATTTCAAGATTACTATCTGTAACATTTTCCATGGTATCGAGATGAGATCCAAAATGATCAACAGGTAAAACGATTCCTCCTAACTTCACCGAAAGAGTAGATATACTCCTTTCCACGAGGTTGTATGCTGACTGTCCTGGAGCATGAGTTCAAATAGTGAAATAATCGAGATTTAATATTTTAAACAATTTGCAATATTCTTCAATATTTTTTAAATATCTAGGATTTTCATCGGGTCCACCATCTACTAGCATGACCAAAATTGGTTTGAATTCATTTTCTATTTTTAAAGTTTGATCAAGGTCCGGATTTTTTGAGAAAGACAAAAT